GTAAAAACAAACGGTCATAACCAGAGAGTTTTTTTAGGTTTTTCTCTATTTTTTGCGAACTAGTTTTGATGAGATATGCACAAAAACACTGTTTTGGGTCGAAATAATGAGTCTATATTGGACCTATTCGAACCAAAAAAACCTATTTCGGCCTTTTTGGACCTAAAAGCTACATATTTGCAAATACCATAAATTGAAAACACAAAATTGAAAAAACTCTAACAATACAAACATTCTGTTAAATATTCGTACCTATTTTGCCTCTTTTTGCATTTTTTTCAACCTATTTAAGCCTTTTTCGAACCTTTTAGGTACCTATTATCAGGTTTTTTGAACCTAAAAAACTCTCTCTGGTCTTAACTTTGTCAAGATTTGGTTGATTTTGCTGTTATTCGACTTAGCTCGAGGAGCTATCTTGAATGAGCTATTATTTGCATATTCGAATTTTTCACTCCCAAAATCGAGCTGAAGAATTCCAATAACCCTTCAAAAAATTTTCCTCTTTAAATCTTCCCCAAATAAAAATTTTCTCTTCTAATATAATTTAACGAAATAAAGAAAAACAAATTTTTTATATTAATATTTTTATTTAAATTATTATTTAAAATTCTTGAAACTGACAAAAAGGGGGGAAAATTTACTAATTTTATAAGCATTTAGGGAGGCGGGGTTGGTTTTGAACGGTTCAAAAAGAATTAAACGCCTTTTTTTAATTTTTTGAAGACAATTGTTTAAAGTATGTATTAGCTTTGCCAAAAAATACGTGGCGATAAAAATAATTTTTATTTTTTTCTATTAATTTTTAATCAAAACAAAGCTATTAAGCTTTGCAATATATAGATTTTTATATAAAAATTTTAATTAATATTTAATTTTTTCTTTTTAAGTGCAAAAAATCAGCCGTTCTCAGTTTCTCAACTTATACATGCACGCATAATTACTTTGTTATAGTTTATCATTTTAAAAACATAACGGATCTAATAAATCTTCTTTGTATTTTATTGGAAAGATACAAAGTCCATTTTTCCATTTTTTTCTTTTTTATTGACTTGCACTTTTATATTTTTAATTCTATTTAATTAATTTAAATATTTTAATTTAAATATATTTGGTAATAGTTTGGAAGTCGCCCACATTTCTGCCTTTATTATTTTTCATTTTATGGCAAATTATGTATCATTTAAAAGAGGAAGTTTCAAAACATCATTTTTCTAATTTTTTATTTTTTTTAAATTTTTAGGGAAAGAGTCTCGTTAAAGCTTACTCCCCCCTATGGTTTTTCGATTTTCGAGGGCTTATATCTCATCCCCTCTATGAGTCCGCACGAAAATTTTTTCATCATTCGAACCAACTCGATGAGCTTATTTAAATGACATATTTGTCGACTTTATCGACGTCTGTGCCCTAGACCGAAATTTTACCATTGATTCAAATGTTAATTTCTATTTTGGTGACATTGGAAGAAAAATTAAAGTCTAGGACAGTTCACCAAAAAGCAATTCACCAAATGACAGTTCACCAAAAAACAGTTCACCGAATGAGGTAATATACCAAACGTCAATTCACCAAAAAGACAATTCACCAAACGTTGTTAATCTTTTCTAAAACTTATAACTAAGGCGAAAATTTATAGGCAAATAAAAACAGAGATTTTCTTTTAATTGACAAAAGGGAAATTTCGCTCTTCCCACAAAACGTCCCACCCCAAAATGTCCCACAGTCAAAACGTCTAATCTCAAAATGTCCAAAAGAGTAAAAATACCCAATTCGTCGAACTAAAAATTATAAATGGAAGTACGCACTGATTTTTTAATATCTGCGACGGATTTTTTCAGATTTTGTACTGATTTTTAGGCAAAATTTAGGAAAAATAATAGTACCAAAAATCTCAAAATAGGCAAAAAGGCCCAAAAATTAGGCAGAAATAGGCAAAATAAAAGTCATGCTAAACGCTTCGGACATGCTAAAAACACGTTTTTTGAAAGTATTACATCATGCCAAGCTCGCAGGAAAAAAAGGCATTTGCCTTTAAATCCTCGCCTTACTTATAACTAATTGATAAAAACACGTCTTTCGCCTATTTTATTGATCAAGCTAGTGATCAATCTAGAAATCGACCGCTCGATAATCTCCCCTTATTGATCTATCGAGCGATCAACAAGATCAAACAAGTTATCGCTGATCATTTCATTTGATCGTGAGATCAGGTCATCGATTGAATGGTCAATCAAGCGATTGGGTCATCGGACCAAGTCAAGAAGAGTGACAATGAGAGTCAACAAGAAGAGTGATCAGCAGATAGATGATCATCAAGGAGAGTGATAAACAATAACTCGTAACAAAATCTGTACTCGTACTCGTACCACTCACGACATAAACACTCTTTGATCTTTGTCCTTTTTTGTAGAAAGGAAAATATTGAGAAGAAAAATAAAAGCGGGGGGGGATAATACAAGTGTACTTCAACATTTATAATTTTTTTGATAAAAATTATAATAACATTAAGTTGAATTTGGATGTGGTGGATGTCAAGATCAAAAAGATTGTTTTGAGTGGAATGACAATAAATACTACATAGATGTACTGAAAGAACATAATTATAAATTATGTCGCGCAGCTTATGGTAAATTGCGATAAAATATACCTAATAATATTAAATACAATAAATTTTAGATAAAGCTGATAGCGATGACTATGACTTGAGTAAAGAAGTATGTAAATCTGATGTTAAAGATTGTTATGTGAAGATTCATGGTTTTATGCTAGATTTTAATTTTAATTCTTGATGTAATTAAGATAATATTCGCGATTCTATAGGTGGATGTGGCAAATGTAATAATGAAAAGAATTGTAGAGATTGTAATAAGTTTGATTGTAGTACTGCAAATTCCTTAAGATATGGAATATTTTTTTGCTATGAAAGAAAATATGGACAAATTAATAAAGAAAATAAATGTACTACAAGTTCAACTTGTTATATTTCAGTTGATTTTAGTAAAAGTAAGAAAACCAATTTAAAATTATTTAAAGTAAATGTTTTTGTTACTGAATTTTAACTCAAATCAAATTAGTACTTTAAACAAGTTGATAATTTGGCTCCAAGTCAAAAAATATTTTCGGCAGAGCTAGGCCGAATCTTTAGTTAAGACCACACAGAACCAAAGCCTCTAAACATGAAAGGTTATCAAACGAAGCTCGATGAAATGCATTAATCTAAGACAAGTCGTTACTTTTGGAGTTGATTAAGAGTTTAGAAAAGTCAAAAATATATATACTACTCGAGATTCGCGCATCTCAGACCATGGAAGGAAGTTTCAGATTAATTATAAAATCATTCATATAAATTTAAGGCATGGACGAAAAGACAGTATTAGAGAAGTATACTGAACAAGGATGTGGAGAATGTCCCAAAAATAAGATCCTATGCAAAGAATGTAAAGAGGGTATATGTAATAGTGAAGATTTTATTAAAAACATGAATTTATGCTGGGACAATAACGCTAAATTCGAATTTTGTGGAAATAAAAATTGTTATTATGCTGTGGGATGGGATAATAAAGGTATTAAATTATTAAAAAATATGTAAAACTTAAATTATTCTATCAAGTTTTTCGAGGCTGTGCCAATACAAGACCTGCAAATTTAAAAGATATACCATTCGTTACATGTAACAAAAAATTATGCAATAAAAAACAATTATTTGACAACACTTTATTCTGTTTGAGTAAAAGGAAAGAAGATAAGGCATCTACAAAGGGAATAGATAAATGTGATCAAGAATGTTTTGTTCATAGACATTCGGACGGAAAATGTGATTAAAAATATTTTTAATCTTTATTTAAATTAATAATTTTAGTAGAACAAGGTTGTGGTAAATGCCCAGCAAACAAAGAAAATTTTTGTAAATCATGTAAAACAAAATATTGTAACGAAGAAAATCAAGTTGACGAATATTGTTGGCAAAGTGATGGGAAAATGTGTGCAAAAAAATTTAATTATAATTGTTTTACTGAGAGAATAAAGGATAATAAAGGTGTTATAATAAAATAAAATATTATTTAAAAACTATAAAAAAATTAAGTAAACAAGGGGTGTGGTAATTGTCCCTCTACAACATGCATCCCATGTAGGGGAAATCTTTGCAATGAAGTACCCGATCTTCCATATTATTGTTTGGATGCTGATGCAATGAGTTTAAGAACATGCACAAAACCGGAGTGTTTTGTTTCTAAAGGTTAAAATAATTACATTCAGTAGTACATTCAGTAAAAAACTTCAAAAAATTTTTTCCCTAAGTAAATTTCAATCACTGTATGTATTGTTTCGGTTCCGGTCTTAGATTCGAAAGGACATCAAAGATTTTCTAAGATTCGACCTCACTATGTATTGTAAAGAACCCCTGTGTCTTATGAAAGTTCTTATTTATGTAGTTTGGGCTAATTTTTAGTTGGGCTTTGTTATTCGCTGAAAGCGTTTCTGCTTAAGGCCGCCTTCCGCTTTCTAAGATGTGGTTAGGTATGTACATGGTTTCAAGCTTGATTTGACTGTATTGTAAGGATGATTCATCCAGCAGCATTTAAAACGCTTAGGCGGGGGTTAAACGATCTAAAAAGGAAAAAGAGAAAGCATTAGTCGATATAGTGAGCGAAAGCGCCTAGCAACAACTAGCAGGTGGTCGCAGGTTCGAATCCTGCCCGGTGGCTAAACTTTTGCAAACTCTTTCTGTATAGACGAGTCATTTTTATAACAAGAGGCATCTTTAATATAAAAAATAAAATTTTATTTAAAAAGTTAAATTAAAAATATCAAATTTGCTAGGTTCAATCGGTGGATGTGGAACTTGTGATGGAAATTTAATTAAAAGATCATGCGTTGATTGTAAAGATTTAAAGTGTAACACAAAAGAATTTTTGGATAAAGCATTCTTTTGTTATGAAAAAAAGAAAAATGGAAAAGAGGAAGAAGGTTTTAGGCCATGTTTGGAGAAAAAATGCTACATATCCCCTGACAGTAAAAATATAAAATTAAAAAAAATTTCAGTCTGATTTTCAGTCGAGCAAGGTTGTGGGACTATGCCTAAGGAAGTAAAGGATAAACAATATGCCGTTTGTGATAAATCCTTGTGCAATACTAAAAAATTTTTTGATCAAACTTTTTCGTGTTTGAATAAAGGAAAGGAAGAGGGGAATCATAAGAAGGGATTAAAGAGATGTAATGGGGAATGTTTTGTTTATAGACATTCTGATGGGAAGGGTATAATATTAAATAAAAGTTATGAAATTTATAATTAAAATAAAGTTGAGAAAGGTTGTGGAACTTGCAAAGGAAAGGATTCTAAAGATTGTTATGCTTGCAAAAAGGATTATTGTAACGAAGAAAAAAATGTTTATAAACATTGTTGGGAAAATAATGGAAAGATTTGCAAAAATAAATATAATGAGGAGTGCTTTACTGAGAGAACAAAGACAAATGGAGGTATTTTATACTTAGAAGGCTAAGCTTTTCGTGTGTAAAAGCTTTTCGTGTTGCCAGAAAGGGTGCTTCTGGCGACACGAAACGTTTTGTTGTTCCTGTCCCCGACCCGAAACAAATAGAAAATTCAGTATCCGACACACCCTCCAGCGACTATCTTAATGGTCATTGTGTACATCCATTATGTAAGACTATTCTTTAGTTTATGAGTTAATGATCAAGCAGATGGGGAATAAACGGAATGAAAATAAGAGTGCTTAAACTTGATTATTTTTACAATAATTTAAAAATTAATTTTAATTTCCAGTAAATAAAGGCTGCGGAATTTGTCCTAGCAAAGCATGCGAGACATGCAATAAAAACCGGTGTAATGATGGGCTAGGCTTAAAATATTATTGTAGAAGCAAGGAAGTTTTGAAGAACAAAAACGGTGTGAAAGAATGTGATAAACCTGAATGTTACATTAAAGCTTTGAATGAAAGTAGAAATGGTTGGTATTTAATGCCACTAATAACTATGGGATAACATTATTATAGAAACTTTTCATATATTTAGAGTTTGATTTTGGCTGTGGAAATTGTGAAATTTCGGACTTAAACTGTGCCCAATGCAATCATGGGGCTTTATGTAATAATGAATTATTCTTCAAGAGTGTAATATATTGTTGGGAGAAGGATTTGAATAACCCAAAACCTCTTAGTGTAAAAACAGAATGTAAAAGTGAATGTTTTGTGTTAAGGGATTTAAATGGAAAAGGTTTTATTAAAAGTAAAATATAATTGGATAAATAAATTTAAGTTAAACAAGGCTGTGGCAAATGTCCAGATAATGACCCCAAATCTGACTGCAAAAATTGTAAAAAAAGATATTGTAATGTAGAAAGTCTTGTTCCAAAACAATGTTGGACTAACAATGGGAATATTTGTAAAACATCTTTTGAAACTCCTTGTTTTGTGGAGAAAATGTCAAATAATACAGGCATTAATTATTAAAAGTTTTTATTTTCTTAAAATTTAAAGATAACAGAGGATGTGGAAAGTGTAATTCTAAATCATGTAGGGAATGTCAAGATAATCGTTGTAATGAATTGAAGGGGATTTATTATTGTAACAGTGTTGATGGAATTAATGGAGTTAAAGAATGTAGCAAGCCTGACTGTTACGTTTTAAAATTGAATAATAATAAAGGTAAAATTAAGGATTAATATTTGGGAATTTATTGTGTTAGGGTCCCCTAAGTTTAGTTCCATCAAAAAACTCACTACATTTTCGTCTTCAGCTTGAGGAAGCCTTGATCTGAACACGAATATTCTGTTTACTAGGAGAGGTAACAAAAAATTAGGCACGGATCTTGAACTCGGATTTGAATCCGGTCAGATCAGGATCAACAACTCTTAAATACACGGTGTGTCAACACCAAGAGTTTTCAAAACAGCAGCTACCTATCCTTTATTTCGCAAAACCTTGTCTACCTCCTTTTAATACACTCCTCCACAAAAGTATAAGGGCACTTGTATTTTCGCAATTTTTTTACTTCCAATGATCCAAATTTTCTGAAAATTTAGATACACACCTTTTAGTGAATAACTAATAAGATGTCAATAGATTTTTGGTTGATTTTTTATCTAAAAAATTTTTAGACCAAAATTTGCATTTTCGGCCTCCACAAAAGTATAGGGGCACTTTAGAAAAAGATATTTCCAAGATTAGAAAAAATCTACAAAAATTATAGGGAACATACACAATGATATTATGAAAAAATAAAAAAGAACTAGACCCATATCCTTACCCGAAGCCGAGATCCTGAGACCCCGAAAATCAACGTAAATCAGGGGTAAGGCTCTTTTCAAAAATTTTTTGACCCCTTGTGGATTGTTTTGAATTTTGATTTTGGGCTCATTCGAAAGCCCTTGAAATTTGCTACAAGATAGTAATACTCATATATCTCAGAATCAATTCATTAGAGATATGCAGGACGTTAATATTCCATATCTAATTTTATGGGGGCATTAGGGCGTTTTTAGTGCCTTAGAAATTTAAACCTTAGGAACTTACTGAGATAATTTTTCTAGAAAATAAAACTTTTGCTATCTTGTAGCAAATTTCAAGGGCTTTCGAATGAGCCCAAAATCAAAATTTAAAACAATCCACAAGGGGTCGAAAAATTTTTTAAAAAAGCCTTACCCCTGATTTACGTTGATTTTCGGGGTCTCAGGATCTCGGCTTCGGGTAAGGATATGGGTCTAGTTCTTTTTTATTTTTTCATAATATCATTATGTATGTTTGCTAGAATTTTTGTAGATTTTTTCTAATCTTGGAAATATCTTTTTTGTAAGTGCCCCTATACTTTTGTGGAGGCCGAAAATGCAAATTTTGGTCTAAAAATTTTTTAGATAAAAAATCAACCAAAAATCTATTGACATCTTATTAGTTATTCACTAAAAGGTGTTTATCTAAATTTTCAGAAAATTTGGATCATTGGAAGTAAAAAAATTGCGAAAATACAAGTGCCCTTATACTTTTGTGGAGGAGTGTATGTATACATGAAGTACTACAAGCAGGGGATTAAAAAGGAATAGCTGATTTAGCTTCATAATTTCCACATCAATCCCGAAAAATAAAATTCACATTTTTAGTTAAGAATAAAAGTGAATTCTATTACGACTGTGGAAAATGTCTAGTTAATAACGAAATGTTCAAGAATACATCCAATGTATCCCTCTTCAAAAAATTGGCTGGAACCAATATAAGCGATATACAATGCGCAGAATGCAATAATGGTCCTTTATGTAATAATGAAAAGTTTTTCGAGAACCAATTGTTTTGTTTGGAGAAGTTGGAGAATGAAACGAAAATAAATAAAGGGATAAGGGTTTGTAAAGAGGGGTGCTTTGTTTGGAGAAATTTTAAATCTGGAAAAGGTAGGTATTTTTGTTATAAGACTCAGAGGTGGGTCGGAACAGCCAGAAGTGTCGGAAATCGGAAGAGTTGGAAATAGGAACTGGCTCAAAAGTCGGAACTCGGAAATCAAAATTTTTTTCGGAAATTGGAAGGAAAAAACGTCGGAAATCGGAAGTCCGACCTACCTCTGATTAGAATTTAAATGATCATATCCTCTGTTTATAGTAACACAAGGATGTGGAAAATGTTCAATTAAAGACAGAACAGAATGTACAAAGTGTAATGAAGAAGCTTATTGCAACACTGAACAGAAAGTCCATAAATATTGTTGGGAAAATAATAATAAAATATGTAAAACACCTTCTACTTCTACATGCCATGCATTGAGAACATCAACAAATGAGGGTTTAAATAAATTAATTTAATACGATTTTAAACTGAAACAAATTTAAAGTTAAAAAAGGATGTGGAAAGTGCCCCTTCCATACATGTGAAGAGTGTAATGAACATCTCTGCAATAATCAAACAACAGTTCCTTTCTATTGCTTTGGGTTTATGGGAAGTTATAAAAAGTGTGAAAAAGCTGACTGTTACATTGCTAAAATTGAGGAAAAGCTAGGAGGTAGAAGTTACAATATATGTAGAGTAAAGCAGCTGGACTATAGCTATTTCTCTCCTTCGGCTAGTTCAAAAGGTTATTCAGCGGCTGGGAGCGAACCAGCATCTTAGGTAGACCAAACTGATGTGTTATCCATTACACCATGCCGCCTACTGCACGGCCTTAGAATTAAATAGCTAGGTGCTTTACAGTAGTTAACAAGAATTCTTATTTTAGACAAGAAGATAGACCAATTCCACTATGATTGTGGAACATGTCCATCAGGCATTCTCGACCTTTCTCCCTACATCAAAACTAAAGATGCAACACTCCAAGAAAAAATAAAGAAAATAAATATGAGTAATGTTCAATGTGCACAATGTAACAATAAACCAGCTTGTAATTCTGATTCGTTTTTTGAAAGTCAATTGTTTTGTTGGGAAAAAGATTCTAACAAATGGGCAGCTATAAAGGGGAAAAGTCTTTGTAAGAAGGAAATGTGCTTCGTTGGAGTTGATAAAAAGGAAATGGGTAAATGATAAGTATTTGAGGGAGGGTTGGCTCAAAATAGTGTTGGAAGCTCGTAGCAAAATTCGTACTTGTACTCGTACCTGTGTACACTCTGTTTCAAAATTTTAGAGCCACTAAATTTTTCGTGATAACTCGATGAAAATCAATTGAATTTTTTTGAAATTTTGCCATAATGTTTAAATAAACAATACATATCTATCTGCAGAAAATAAATCCCATCCAGTGTCTGCAAGAAATTTTATTCCAAAAAATTAAATTTATAAGTGTTTCATAATTATAGACGAATAAGAGGTAGAAAAAGGCTCTGCGAAAGTACGAGTACGATTACGTCTAATTTTCAAAATTCCAACCACTGGCTCCAAATTTAATAATGTCCAAATTCAGTTTACAAACATGATTACTTTCCTAAAAATCATTTTTATTTCATTTCCAAATTTGGACATGTAGATTGGCTTATACTAAAATTTACATATTTAATTAAAGGCTTAGTACAAGGATGCGGTAAATGTGAAACACATCTAAATCTGACCAAATGCACTAATTGTTCAGGACACTTATGTAATACAGAAGCAATACTTCCTCCCCCAATAAAATGTCACTTTCTTGTTGCCAATTTTCAGCCTTATGTTAAAATAAGTAAAACATGCCAACATGTTTATGATAGTTGTTACCGTATTTCCTAAAATAGTACTCCCCCCTGAATTAGTACTCCCCCCTTAAATAGTACTCCCCTTTGGAGGAGGGTTAAAAAATAGTACTCCCCCCTTAAATAGTACTCCCCCTAAAATAGTACTCCCCCCTAAAATATTTTTCCCTATATTTGAAAAAAATTATAGTAAACTCATTAATTATTTTATTGAAATTTACTTATTTAATTATTTTATTTATTCTATGTAGCGTTGTCGGTTTCATTTGATTCTCCGATAACCGAAACCGAACAGCTTTCGGTTAACCGAAAACGAACCGAAATTTTAACCATAAATTTGTCGACGATTAAAGAGATATAATGTAGTTAATTTGTGGGGTAAAAGTGGATTTGGGAGATATAAAGGGATTATATCAGGTGGTAAATATGTTTTGGATTGATCATGTGGGGTCTAAAAGATATCATTGGATTAATGTTTCATAAAGGAAATTGAGGGAATAATGAAGGATGTCATATTAGGTGATTTTGGTTGTTAAGTGATAAAGATATGAAATTGAATCATAAATCCTCCTTAATCCACCGATATTTCTTCGTTATTTCTAATTCAAATCCTCAGATATCCAACACACTGGTATCCAACTCACATCATTTGATCCCTTGTTATCACGCCGAAATATGGATATCATGTGATTCGTAGGGATATCGGAAGAACAAAAGTGATGTGGAGGATATCGGTGATTAGTGCTGATAAATCCCTAGACACAGAGATTAGGACATCTCTAAACACAGGATTACACTGGACACAGCTAATCGCTATACACAGGAGATTAGGAAATCTGCTGATAAATCCCCCTGAAGGATATCTAGAAAATTTGACGCATATCAAATGTATAGTCTTAATTGCATAAATCCCCTTATATCCCTCGATATCACACAAATTCACTCATCACTCCAAATCCACCGGATCCGGCATTTTTAAATAAAACTCTGACATTTAGAATTTTCAAATAAATTTTCCTATAATAAATCATGGAAGAGGGTTGAAAAATAGTACTCCCCCCTGAATTAGTACTCCCCCCTTAAATAGTACTCCCCTTTGGAGGAGGGTTGAAAAATAGTACTCCCGGGAGTACTATTTTAGGAAATACGGTATATTGCTAGAGATGTTTTTGGGAGAGGTTAAACGAGATATTTATAAAAATTATAAAAAATTTTTCTCAAGTTGAGCAAAATTGTGGAGAATGTCCTTTAAAATATCAAAAATGTATTACATGTAATAGTGATTTTTGTAATGAAGAATCCCTTATTCCCTTAACAACTATTGAAACAACAAAAATAACAACGGATACTAGTACAATAATCACAACCACAACAAATAAAATTAAAATTAACACAATTAATAAAACAATTGTAACAACAAAGCGTTCTGCTATGTCGAAAGCAAAAATGAATAAAGTTGAAATAAATGCTACATTTATTCTTATGTTTATTTTAATTAAAATTTTAACAATTTTGTAATATTTATCTTTTAAAATTTTTATAAAGATTAATTATTGCTAAGTATAATTATTGCTAAGATACCGATATTATAGAACGACAACTAAAGTCCGGTCCCTAATTAAAATCACTTTATGCATTATAATTTTTGAATTCAACAATTTAATTATGCATCTTTTTATTACTAATGATTAGGGCGTGTCAAAATATGCACGGAAAATCCCAAAATATGCGCATATATGCACCGAAAAAGTCCAAAATATGCACCAAAATATGCAAAATATGAATTAAATATACTGCAAAAATAATGAAAATATGCTTTAAAAATCAATATCTAAATTTAAAAAATACTAAATTAGCATCTAAATTGCAGTTTAAGAGCATTTCTAAATGATTTTATGAACTTAAAATTTAACCAAAAAAATTTTTTTGAAAAAAATTTATCGCGAAAAATTTTTCAAAAAAATTTTTTCGAAAAATTTTTATTAAAAATTTTTTTCCCAAAAAATTCCTAAATTTTTACTAAAATTTCTCAAAAAATGCCAAAATATGCACAAATTTAGGTAAAAATATGTAAAATTTCCCAAAATATGCATTGATATGCAAATATGCACGAAAGTACCGAAATATGCAAAAATATGCTATAGGAATCCGGTCCCTAATGTTCGTACCGATGTAAAAACACCATTTTTGAGCGTTTCAGCTCATGGCATATCCGCATGCAAAATATGCATATATTTTTAACATATTTATTTTTAACATAACCTATTTAATTTTATATCATATCTACATAGCTGAACGATTTTAGTAGATTTATTATTTAAAATATTCCACAAATTAATACATATTTTCATCCACCATAGCACCCACTCTGCCCATATTTTGCTACATTTCTATCAAAATATGTTAGGTGGTCGCTAACATAATAAAGACTTAAATAAAAATAATTTTGTTATTGTTATCAAATCCTACTCATATTTATTTGCACAATCCTTGTCTTCATCTCCCCCTACACATCTCTTCCATGCAGAACCTGGTTTCATGTCGTTATCATAAAAAATCTTGAAATCTAATAAATTTAATAAAGTAATTAAAACCTCAGTTCTATAATGAGCATAATCTTCATATGTTCGTGGAGGTACATGAACAACTAAATCGCGAGCTCTTACTACACGGTAATTGAAGAATGACAACTTAAAATAATAAATAGTTATAGGTAAAGTACAAACACGCATACCGTATTTACTCGATTAATTCCCCTGGGGAATTATTTTTTCAACCCATCCGTGGCATGGGGAATTATTCAAGGGAGGGGAATTATTCGAGTTTTGAAATTTGAACGTGTAATAGGGTATTCGAGGGAGGGGAATTATTTTTTCAACTTATCCCTGGCATGGGGAATTAATAGAGGGTGGGGAATTATTCGAGGGTGGGGAATTAATCGAGTAAATACGGTATGCATGTTTTTACAACCCCAATTATAAAGCAAAAATTCTGAAATTTCACCTCTCTATCCATTGCAGCCGCAAATCCACTATCTCCTGTTCTTGGTTGCCCAAAAGTCACTAATTTTACTTTATCTTGCGGGATTGCTTTGATATGAACCAATTTTGCTGCGGCTAATGCAGCCAATGATCCGCCCAAAGAATGTCCGGTTATCTATTAAATATATCTTTTAACTTAATATTTATCTTGATTATAATCAGAGACAAAGTATTAACGCCAATAACCAAAAATGCGTATATATATTCAAAAAATCCCAAAATATCCACTAATATAAAAATATATGTACAAAATTTCCAAAATATGCGACTGAACTAAGCAACTATTTAGAAAATTTTTTTCAACTGGATCAATAAAGTATACTCGCCGATTGAAAACTACAAATTGATAAATGTCAAGAAAAATGATTTCTTGCTTATCGAGCTATAATTATTTAATAGGCGATTGTACTTGATTTCCAGCTGGAAAACGATATTTTAGATTGCCTATTTTCTTAATATTTTGTAAAATTCATTTCTTGATTCAAAATAATACAAAATATAAAAAATACTAAGCTGCACAATAAATAAATAAATTGAACAAACCCAAAGTTCATATCCCCGATGCTTTCTTAAAAGATCGACGATCGTTTCAGTTACACCTTTCTTGTCTAACTGCGTAAAAATATTATCGAAATAGAAGGCAACCTTGAAAAGATATACATATAACAAAAATTTTAAATATTAAGACAAACATATCCATGGCCAAATACCGAAAGAACTGGTAATAGTTTGGAATTCGCCCCCCCCCTTTTTTTTCCTTTCTATTTTTTCTAATTTTTTTTCATTTTATGGCAAATTATATATCATTCGAAAGAGCTCTTCAAGCTGAGTCGAATGACGTTAAGATCAACGAAATCCGACTTAAGTGAACAAAGTTGTGACCGTTTATTTTATCCCCGTGCATTGACACAAAAAGTTTGCACAAACTAGGATTTGGCTTCATAATTTTGGTAAGATTGATCAGATCTGGCCAATCATGGTATCATTCGATCACGCTCGAAGAGCTCTTTCGAATGATATATGATAAATTATGTATCAAACAAAAAAGCTCAAAATGGTCAGTGAAACAGTGAAAAAAAGGGGGGCGAATTCCAAACTATTACCAAAGAACTTTTTGAAATAATAAAGTCTCCAAAACTTCATGAGTTAATTGCCAAAAGGTGTCTGTACCTCTTTAATATTTACAAAAATATTTTTAATAATTTTCTAAAAATACAGGGTGTTTCAGATAAAAAGCACTATTTGAAAATTCAATAACTTTTTAGTACGTGGACAGATTTTGATGATCTATCGCCAAGTGTTTACTCTAGTGTCTATCGCTGCTTGTAAAAAACAAAAGGCAGTAGAATGCATGTGCGGAAAAAGGGAAAAACAGGACGATAGAGTACGAAATTATCTCGGGTTAGGGTTCGAATTTAGACATAATTTTTATGTCAAAAAAATGCCATAAAATATAGATATTAAATACCAAATTTCATTAAAATCTGTCCAAGCATTAAAAAGTTAATGAATTTTCAAATAGTGCTTTTTATCTGAAACACCCTGTATTTCTACCTAAATGCTAGAACAACCGCTTCGTCAGTTAAAGAGACGGCAGTAAAAGCTGAACAATAAGCATCCACACCTTGGCATTTAACTACCCAACTTTTGATAAACTAAAGGTTTATCACTTTTATTTCATTTATTATTTTAAATAATTACTAGAAAATCGGGATATATTTCTGTAAGACATTCATTAATATTTTTGTCAGAACCATAAGCAGCAGCTGCTAATGGAAATATTTTAAGGCGAATAAATCTGTCTATATATGTTACTACAACCTTAAATTTAAAGGAATTTAATAGTTATATCGGTCTATAAAATTTGTAAAATTGATTCATTCCTTGATATCGGTCTCCTCATTCTAAGTATTCTCTCCTCAAAACATTTTTTCGAGATTTCGATTTTCAATGGTTTTTTCCTTTCGATTTTTAATTTGGATTTTTAACAATCGAAAATTCAAAAAATTTTTGCCTTTGGTGCTAATAATCTAAAAGCTATTTATTTAAATTTGATCAAAAATATCAAATTGAGGATAAAATTGACTGTTCACATATGTATAATTTTTTGTGTTGTCTCCCCAAAATCAATTCCCTTACCTCCCAGTCACCGGATAATCTTCAATAATTATTTCAGTTTCGGATGTGAATATCCAAACTTTTAGTTTGTATATCGGATCCGGTTTAGATATCCTTAATTTTCCCGGATTCATCACCATAGTTCTAGGATTATTTTAATTTCTGTCTTTATAATCCCAAAGCAATAGTGCCAGACCTAACTTACTCACAAAAAGCATTTTATGTATTTACTTTCCATTTTTTTTTGATTTTTGAAGATTGTTTGGATCTAAACGGCACGCGGACATATCGGGACGGACAATATCGGGATATTTCAATGTACTAACAGTTACCCTACTGATTTCGGGACCTACAGCCACTGGGTCTTTGATAATATATTGTCCTATTAAGGAATAGTTTTTATCTCTTAGATCAAACGTAAACACGCAAGAAATTATTTTTGTCACCCCAATCCCCATATGAGCGTCCCGATATGTCCGCACACAATTTAAACGCCCTCGCCACATTTAATTTTGAATTTTAAAATTAATTAAAAGAATACCTTGCTTTCATTAAATTTACCAAAATTCTGATTTATTTTTCGATAATTATCCTCCAATTCTTGACTAACATTAAATTTGTTACTCAATTTTTGTAACGATATATAATTTGAAGGCAATTCATTATATATTTGAGAATAATTTAAGGTAGTTTGAGCTTTACCACACGAATAATTTAATAAAATAATCATTAAATTAAAAATAATTTTGTTAATAAAATTTATTTTATTTTTATTTAATTTCATTTTAATTTAAAATGAAATTTAAAATGAAGATTAATTCGTTTAAGTCATTTTAATAATAAGATTATTTTTAAAAAATTATTAATTAGGTATTATTTACTCATTTTTATTAACAAAGATATACCCAAACGAATACTTTTTGAGAATTTAAAGGTTTAAAGCTAAAAATCATTTTATTAAACGCTCTTTCTTTTTTAAATAATTTTGGATAGAAAAAGCTTTTGCGAGAATTCTCTTACTAAATTTTGCTTTCAAATTAAATAAAAAATAATTTTAAATAATATCCAGCTAATCAAATTTTAAATGTTTTCACGTATGGGTATACATAAAATGAATAGAATACACAGAATTTTGGTATCTATTTTTATAGTTTGTATTTTATTCAAAATTGAAAAATAAATTAATGAAAAATAATTCTCGTATTTTGTTGTAAATCGATTATCTCTTAATTGCCATAATTAATATTTTAACGAGTTAATACGGGTTTAATATCCAACTATTATTTTCTGACCTTACTTTCATTTACTTCATCATAAATTAGTCGAGAATTTTTAAAAAATTTTAAATAAAAATCCAGACCTCTTGTAACTTTAACAATAATATTATATATGCCTAAGCCTGCAATCATTACACGAAAATTCAGAAAAAAATAAACAAATTTTAAATGTAAAATTCGAAAAATATGGGTGCGTTTATAATTTTGGGACAGAGTGTATATTTATTCGAATATAATGGCCGCCCTTCTATTTCCAATACCAGTTGGAAAAGTGCCATTCAAATCGAGGTGGCCACCCTATTTTTTCATAAGTTAGAAAGACTTGGATGAATCAAAATTCCTATCTAATATTTTTCGAATTCGAAACTTTACATAATTTTTAAGTAAAATTCGATATTATAGATTTGTTTACAGAGAAAAAATGAACAGAGACAACGATACCATTTCCATTCTGATTGTGGAAAATGCCCATCAGGCATTCACAATCCTATTTTATACATTTACCAAACTTTAATTTTAAAATTTCTGCGTGTGGTCCATTTCTATCTATTATTTTTTACATTTAAAGATATTCGCGTGTAAATTTGAAAATGAATTTCATTATACTTTTAAATTCTTTGAAAATTTAAAATAAAAAATTATTTTTTAATTTATTTAAAAAATAAAAATTTATTGTCGAACAAAGTACAATTTATATCGTGTACTTATACGAAATTAAAAATATTTTAATTAAAAAATATATAATATGTATAATTAATTTTATACTTACCGATAAATATTATTAAATTTAATTTTTATTATTTTGAGATAAAATTGTAATATTTAGCAGATGTTTAAGAGTTAAGTACAAATTACAGCGTTATTAACAGCTGGAATGTTAAAAGTGTAACTTATTTAATATTTATTTATTTCCGGCCTTCTCAAATTTATATCTTAAAAAAATTTAATTATTTAATAATACAATATGATATCTCTATATTTTAATTATTATTTTTTTCCCGACTTCGCAAAAGTCTTAATTTTTTAAATCGGTTCTAAGACTGAGTATGCAAAAACATAATACAGATAAAAAAATTAAAAATAATTACTACATCCCTTTTTAGAGGAAAAAATAATTTTATAATATTATTTTTATTCAAAATTAGCAGTTAAGCTTTGCTCATGTTCTTATCAAAAATGGAACGTTTAAAAAAAGGAAGATTTTAGTCTACCAGATTAATTATAGAGTATAAATTGACAATTACCTGATTTTTATATTACAATACCCATATTTATCACAAATGTCATTCTTGACTAACTGTGTGGTAATAAATTTTGAAAGTTGATGAATAGAAAATATTTTTCCTCTATAAGAAGAAAAATAAGGTATTATCGTGAAAGTGAGGCAAGGACGATCTACTAAAAGATTTGAGCTCGAAAATATTTTTCTTTGCTAATTCTCCCTAAAACTTCCTAAATTAATATTAATTTTAGAAAATTTAAGTATGACAATTAATTTCGATATAAGAAAAAATTATTTAAACGTAATTTCTGTATCATTTTGTACAATCTGTGCCCTTTTTCTCATAATATTAATACGTCCTTTATACAAATTTTCAAAGGAACGAACAGCTCTTTTCATTCTATTTAGCAAGGTAATTTTGGTTTGTGATAATTTATACTTTATATATGTATTTCCCTCTATAAAATTTTCAATATTATTCAATTTCCGTTTAATTAGTTAACATGGAAAAGTTTAGAAATAAATATTTAAAAATAATATATACAAGTTTTCTTACAATTTTATATGTTGGAGAACTTATAAATAAAATCTACAAGTTGGTCCGTTAGGATTATAACTCAGGCTACATATGATTATACCAATTAGTTACTATACAGGGTGACAAAAACTGATCTAACAGTTTATTTTTGGCATAACTTTATTCACTTAAATGTACCCTTTGCTCGGATATAGAGTTGAAGGCGCGCGGAAGAATTGTACATATAACCTTTAAGTTGAATAAAGTTATGCCAAAAATAAACTGTCAGGTCACTTTTTTGTCACCCTGTAATGTATTCAACTTTATCTTTAATTATATAAGTATAAAACTTTCCAGTCATGCGCAAATATAACATATCAAATCCTTAAAATCTACATCTGTATATGGCAATATTATCCACAATTTATGGAATCATTTTGGAGTAACTTTTTTATAGGCCCATTGGCGTCTGTTTTATCAACATCAATTTATGTACACATAACTGGATTGGCGGTAAATCGCTTCCATGCAGTTTTCCTTCCTTTTAGCTATCAAAAAATCTGGAAAGAAAGGTAATATTTTTTGTCAGACAGAAAATGAAGATTTTTTCGACACACAATAAATTTGTATTACAAAAATTGCGGATAAGTACTTGGAGATGCGACAAAACAGTTGTGTAGGACAACTGTCCTTATATGACACTTAGGGATATAAAATTTATGAAATTAGGGGTTTTTTAGGTTTTAAGCTCATTGTAAACAGTCAGCCGTTAGTACAAAACAAGCTGACAATTAATAATTTTCTTATTTAACTCATATCCGCAATACACATTTATTGTCGTATCTGCTTGTATGTAATAGCCCAATGAATAATTTTAAGAAATATTAAATACATCATTTCCATCTTATGGCTCATTATAATTATATGGAGTTCAATAACTTATTTTGGATATACATTTCAAATTGCCCAAGATAGTATTTTAAGGTTAAAAATAATAAAAATATTATAATTTTTATTAAAATTATTAAGAGTATTTACATTGGGAGTATTTATGCCTGGTGATTTGCCAATACTGACAGCTATATGTATATCAATTCCTTTATATTCTGCTGTACTGTCAAAGTTTATTTATGAGTACAGTATGTTTTTGAAAATAATAAATGTTTAAGGCATAAAACTTAAGTAGTCTTCTTTAATATCATCATCACCATTATACGTACAGGGTGACAAAAAAGTAACCGGGCAGCCATTTTACTTTATTTTACTTTATACAATTTTTTTACAATTTATTTTATACAATTTTATTACAATTTTATTTTACAATTTTATTTTTTTTTATTTTATTACAATTTTTTTTATTTTTTTATCTTATACAATTTTATTTTACTTTATATATTTTTTACTTTATACAATTTAGAGATAATGGGATAAAATCAAGCTTATATGATAGAGAATTAAGCAAGGAACAGATATTATTAAAAATTTTCGAAGTGCCCTCCCTGTGCTCGCACCACCTTGGGCCAGATTTTCTCTCATTGCCGGACGGGTAATTGCAGTATCGACTCCAAACTTCTGTGTTATTAAGAACCCGTATCTGTTAGGAATTCCTATTTATATTAATTTAAATTAAAGAGACTGGAAAGATGCAAAGTTTAGAGGACAATACGAAAAAAGAACGAATTCGAATATTAGCTGTTTGTTTGGTAAGCCTAATTCCTTGTCCTTGGTATTTATGTATGTACAAATTAAATGTAACTATTGATGCAAATGTGCAAGATACAACAACTTCAATTATTGTATCTGCTTTATTCAATACAAGCTTAACTATACTTCAATGTATTGAGGAAATATGTTTAATTATTATTTCGGAAGATTTTCGTTTAATGATCAAAAACCAGTTTATTAAAACTAACACAACGACTAAGGTCAGCACAAATATCATAACTGTTAAGCAAAATTCTCAGCAACGAAAATGAGAGGATTGAATGGGCATTTAAATTTATAAATTGACGTAAAAGATAAATAAAAATAAAGATAAAATGAAAAATATAGTTTCACTAATGGATAAATTTTTTTAAAAGTAGAACTTTTTTTAACAAAAAATTTTTAAAACAACAAAAAATAGTTCATCATTGAAAAAATATTTATTTAAAAATAAATAATAATTTAAAGAAGAGATTTTTTGTCGAGCAAATTTTTTGACTTCTTTTAATCCTTCAACTGCAACGGACTTTGTTAATAGTCAAAATAATAGTTAATAGTCACGAATTTCTTAATAGTCACTTTCTTAAAAATAAAAAATTTTTTAGAGATTTTTTCGAAAATTAAGATAAATAATATAGCGCCTCATTCTTCAAAGTTTCCATAATAACAGACTTGATCTATCCGTCTTTCATTACAACATCAGCCACAAGATGCATAATCGCCTTTATTCGCTAGGGTGGATGCTCGTTCTTAGAGACCTTTCTTTGCAAACAATATAGATTAGCAGAAAATTCTTCCAATTTTTGCTTCTTTGTCACAGGCTTCTTGCCAACCTCAGCCGGAATAGCTCGCTTCTTTCCTTTCTTCCTTCCAGTCTTCTTTCCATTTTGTTTTCTAATTGAAGACTACTTGTTTAGAAGCAAAAGAGGAAGACACTTATTTTAAATTCTCTAAATTTTCCATATTGTTTTGCTTCTCCTTTTTCGAAGCTTTTTTTGAATGAAAGCTTGATATTGTTCGTATTTTTCAATAGCTTTAGTACAATGACGCTAAAAATAAGCAAAATTTTTAAAGAAAATTCATGGGAAGGGGAGGGGGTAGGACCGGTGGACAGTTCTAAATTGGCTCGAAAAACTAGAAATTTTGACAGTTTTTGACCAATACCCCAATTTTCAAAAATACGTTTGAAATCTCTTTACAGGGTTGTGACCTTCTTCAAACACTAGCCACTTGCTCGTTCTTGACCAAGATACTAATTTCCCTAAATTCCATTTAAAAATTTAATAATCCCCTAAAAAACAAGAAAACAAAACCAAATTTATAGCCTTTCCATAAGACGCGATATTCCACTCTTCCATTGCAAACTTGTCCGCCCGTTTTCGAAAAATATAGTCAATATTGGGAAACAGCTGAAAAATGAATGCAAAAAAATGAATGGGAAAACGGCTGACAAAAATATAAGCTTTCTCATCTAAGTTAATATATTTAATTCTTCATACCGTTAGATAGCTTAGTCTTTCCTCTACATTTTGACTTATGTATTATACTTGTCAAGGAGTTCCGTTCTGGATATTTTAAGTTTTTCTGCCTAATTTTTATTTTATATTAATTTTATTTAATTATCTTTATTAAAATAAATTTAATCAAAATAAAAACTTGATGGATTTTGCTTCAAATACATATTTTTTAAAAGTTCAATAAAAAGCAGTTTAAATTAAATTTTTATTAACTTTTTAAATGTAAATAATAGAAAAATGCCGGAAAACTTTAAATCTCTACCTCCTTGAATAATCTCTCGTTTTATTCATTCTCTCTTAAATCTTGGCAGTCAGCTGAAAATAATTCTATGTAAACGGCAGTCTAGACAGGATCTGGCAAGACAATAAAATCTACCCACCCCTCCCTTATTTCCATTGTTTCCTTTTTTCTTTTTTCTTTTAAATTTGTCTAGCCAAATCAATTAGACATATGTATATTTTATTTAAAATTTCTGTATATAAATCAATTAAAGTTACAGTTAGAAAATCCTTTTTTGTAAATAATTCAACTACCGTATTTTCTCGATTAATTCCCCTCCCTCGAAGGATTCCCCCTCTCGATTAATTCCCCTCCCTCGAATAATTCCCCCTCTCGATTAATTCCCCTCCCTCGAATAATTCCCCCTCTCGATTAATTCCCCTCCCTCGAAGGATTCCCCCTCTCGATTAATTCCCCTCCCTCGAATAATTCCCCCTCTCGATTAATTCCCCTCCCTCGAATAATTCCCCCTCTCGATTAATTCCCCTCCCTCGAAGGATTCCCCCTCTCGATTAATTCCCCTCCCTCGAATAATTCCCCCTCTCGATTAATTCCCCTCCCTCGAATAATTCCCCTACCTCGATTAATTCCCCTCCCTCGAATAATTCCCCTACCTCGATTAATTCCCCATGGTAGAGTTGAGTTGAAAAAATAATTCCCCAGGGGATTAATCGAGAACTATGTTGGAATGGCCTTATTCTTTATTCTCAGTTTAATTTTAAACAAACCTCAATGAAATTTTGAGTTTCTGCTTCAATTCCTATTTAATTTCAAAATTTTCTCAATCTAAAAATAAGATTGATGAAACCCAAGTTTTCCAATTAAAAAAGTTTCCCTCGGGAGGGTTATGCTAATACATATTTTGAATAGAGACACAAAACATTATCAGAATAGTGAGACCGATCATTAAGAATAGTGAGACCGATCATTAATCTGTATTAATTTATATACGGTATTTCGTTTCTATATTGGATTTGGGAATATTACAGTCAGTTTTTTTGAACTCGATGCCTTTATACAAAATTGCTTGTTTTGGATTACAGTTAGCATTGTCATTGGAGATTTGATTACCCATTTTTCTGTTTAGCCGATTCTTGACATTTAATTTATTTTAAATTCATTTAATGACTAAATTTATTTGGCAATTCTGAAAATGAATTCAACAAAAATATTTATTCAACTACTGTTAATGTCCATTCCCTTCTCATATGTTATAGCAGGTTTTAAAAATCAAGGCGTTGATCCTTATAAAGGACTGGTAGCTGATGAAGAGCAATTGGCTAAACACGAAGCACATAAACTTAAACTAATGAATAAACACTGGTATGGTAAAGATTCCGTGAAGAGCAAAAAGCCTAACAAAGAAGAGACGGGTAATGAATATTTTACTAGATCATTAAAAAAATTATTTTGAAAGGGTTTAGTTTAGACGATTATATACCTATTTTATTAAAAGCGATCTTTAAAAGCGATTTTTTGCTCCATGGTCTTATAAAATTCTCAACATTCGCCTGAGCCTCAGAAAGTGTTTTTATTAAGGAGCTAAAAATGCTGCACTCTTCCCCTTCGTTTCCAAAATAGTCACTCGTTACTGTAGTAAGCTAGCTTTTAACAAGCTCTAATTATCATGAATCTAGTTACTTTTCCCAATCTCATTACTCTAATAACTCTAAGCGGAATAATCCCACAATATTTGAACAAGGATACAAGTTTCCCTATTTTATCATAGATTGTTTAGCATAGGAGCGAGACAATTAACTAATAAGGCTTTATTGTTATTCTTAAAAAATTTGAATTTCAAAGAGCGCATTTAAAGCTAGTTTTTTGAATAAATTTTATTTTTAATTTAAAGACTGTCTCAGCTTTCTTCGCAGTTTGTTAAATATTAAGAAAAAGAAAAACGATGACAAAGAATTTACTACTAATTTACTAAACAACAACAAATACTGGCAAACATTTTCCGACCCGCACAAAAGTTTGAACGCTGGAAACGATTTTAGTTTTTCGAATACCAAAGCAAATTCTGGTAAAGAATTTTAAAGATTGAAGTATTACAGTAATTTGCTGATTTCCCTTTTTAAAATCCGCAAAGCTTCTATAAAAAAACAGAAACCCCCCAAATGTCCCACTAAACTTAAACTCCAAAATGACACACTGAGCTCCGTAGCACCACAAAAACTGTTATCAAGCAAAATAAAGTTATTCTGCTAAAATTCAACCTTTTTTGTGTTAATACTACTAAATAAGCAATAATTTGTTTCAATATTTCACTTATTTTTGGCATTTTTTGTCAATATTTTGCCAATTTATTTCAATATTTTATGGCCATAAATTGCGATTTTATTTCAATAAAAATCCGGACCCTAGTCATTAATGAACGTATTTGGAGAAATTAGCTGAATTTTTAATTAAAATAAAATTTAAAATGCTAATTCAGTTTTTTATTAATCACAATTAATTATTACATAATATAATTAAGAGCCTGAAACTCCAAAATTTCCAGTTAAAGGAAACAATCCTTTTTATGATATTTCAAACTGAAAAAGAGTCCTTCAAATTATGTACATTGAAGAATGACGTTTTTTAAGATATTTTTTTTGGATATTGGGAAAAAAAGTTGACGTAAATTATTATTATTATTACAATTCATCCATTATTCCTTCTTGTATGTTATACATATATTGTTTAAATGTTATTTTAAAGTTATTATCATATTCTGATTATTTTATTTTACCTCCAACATAATTGACATTATCCACAACAGTGCTGGATATTTGGCATTTGTTGGCTCCAGCTGCGTGCTCCGGGCATTTCAAAATCTTAGCTCCGGCTCAGCCAACTATACCCAGCACTGATCCACATACTCTTATTTTTATTGTATTTTAAACTTTATTTTATTTTACTTTGTGATAAAACATATTTATTAGTCAAGTACTATTATTTGTTATTATAAGACAGTTAAACTAACATGATTTAATACATATTACCTATATTTTTATGACTTTTTCTCAAAATTTAGAAATTATTTTATTCAGTTTTCCATCCAAGTTTAGTTCCAAATCCTTTAACGAATTTTTCTTTAATTTCTTCAGAAATCTCGTTAACAACCTCCATAAGTTTTATTCAGGTTTCTTTCAGGCCCGATTAACAAATATCCCGCATGTATTGTTTTACTCCCCCTTCTTAAAATAAATACCCCCTTCATTTGAACTACGATGACATAAACTCCGAATTTAATTTTAAGAGGCACTCAATGAGAGAAAATTTATTTAGAAAGGGCAATTATTGACGCTAAAATCAATTACCCATCGTTAATTTTATTGCTTCACATCCTACCCTAATTATCACCCCCAATACAGTGTGTTCGGGAAATAATACGACAACCTTGGACAATCTTGTTTTTGATAGTAACTTACTTTTGTTAAACTTACTTTTTATTTTTTATCGGGATCCTGAACCAAAAACTTTTACTATAACTTTTGTGGATTTTTCTCTATCTAAAACAAGATTATCAAAGTTGTTCATATCATTTCCTGACGCTTCAAAAACGACTACTTTTAAATAAATTTAATTTACTAAGGGATGGATGGAATTTCTTCAATTTCCTAATTTTTTTAATTTCCTCGATGCCCTTAGCCCGATTCACGGGTCGAAATTTACTAACAAGCCCTGAAAATTTAATAATTTTTATTATTCCACATCCAGGATTTATTATAAGAAAGTTTACAGAACTCACGCGGATTTAATCTTGTAACTCAAAACAGTTGTATTGCGCGAGCAGGATCTCGTTAGCATGATTACTATTTTAAATAAGACTCTATTCTGTTTTAAAAATGATAATAAAATTAAAAATTTTAATGTTGATCATATTTTATTCGACATATCGGGTATCGTTTGGCCTCATTGCTCGTATGCTTGACATTCATAGCTAATCAAATCTCTATTCGGCATTTATTAAATATTTTAGAGTTAAAAAAGCAAATAAAAAATCTTTTATTTTAATAAAAAATATTAAAAATAAAAGCTCGGTTAACCGTCTATAATAATTAATGTTTTTTTAATTGTTGGAGGCAAATAGTCATGTTTTTCACTAGAAATCCAAAAATTTTCGCTGGATTTGTATACTTTAAATTTTATTTACTCATGAGCATCCCTTTCAACTAACGGAAAAATCTAAAAATTATTCAGTATTTAGCTCGGCCTTTCTACTATTAGTCTACACTGCTCCACATAACTATAACCTCACCCTAAATTTTCGAATTTCTTAACTTCTACCGAATCAATCGGGATAATTTTTATTTTATATTAATAAAAGCAGGTAACAATTCATATAAACCCGAGAAATCTAAAAAATTTCTGCTTAAAAAATTTTTATCCAATATTTCCAAAAAACGCCCTCCACATAACTATAACCTCACCCACTATAACCTCATCTACTTATTATCAAAGGAAAAGTTTCCGTGAATTTTTTCAAAATTTTTCAAGCATTCCTAATATGATTTCTGTTGGTGAGGTTATAGTTATGTGGTGAGTGTTTTCTGAAAAAATTGGATAAAAAAATTTCGAATAAAAATTTTTTCGATTTCTTGGGTTTTTATGAATTGTTACCTGCTATAATTAATATAAAATAAAAATCAGCTCGATTGATTCGGTAGAAGTTAAGAAATATGAAAATATAGGGTGAGGTTATAGTTATGTGGAGCAGTGTATTATTCAAATTATAAAATGACCACCTTTTTTTATAATTTTTCATAAACTTTTCTTGAAGGGAATAATATTTTGAAATTCTGAAAATGAATTCAACAAAAATATTTATTCAAATGGTATTAATGCTCACTGCTTTCTTATATGTTTTAGCAAGTGATCAAGATGGTAACGTCGATCCGTTTAAAGGCTGGGTAAATCAAGATCAAATTGCTAAAGACAACGCATGGCTGAAAAAAAAAGTTGCTAACCTCCAATCCCCTAAAAAGACAAAAAAGAATAAAGAGACTGTCAAAGGAGAGCCAAGTAAAAATAATTTTAATGATTATTAAAATTATTTTTTAATATTTTTAGAAGGGATTAGTATATAGAAAGAATTTAATTAAATTGATCAAGTTTTCGTTTTTAAATCGAAAATAGTTATTTTAACTAAGAATTTTTTGGTAGTATACAACACCTCTAAACAAATAAACCCCCTCAACACTTTTTTACTTTTTTAAGACTAAAGTATAAGACGAGAATAACTCTAAAATAAGTAACTCGAAATATAAAAAAATTTTCGACCAAAAACAAGACCCAACATTTCTTAACCCGAAACTCGATTCGTTTAAGAATACAGCCCATCATTTAATTTTAATTAATAAAATATCATTTAATTCTGAGAAATTTTGATTTTAAGAATAAATTTACTAAAATTTACTAAAATTCAGTAAATTATCTAGAAGATGAATTATTCGAATATTTACAATTTAAATATACTTTTTAAAAATCTTTATCTTCTATAGGTAGTGGATGTTTTCAAATTGGCTCAAAAAGTAAGAAGAATAAAGAGAAAGCTGAAAAATCTACTAAAACAAATGTCGGCGAAGGTTTTACCTTTCAGCCTGACAGTTCATATACTGGTAGAATTTTAAAGTTAGTTATGTACCTTGCTCGTTTACTCGCCTCTTTATTATAGTCTCAGATTATTTTTTTAGTTTTTTCTTGTTAGTCATTTCAATGATCGTAAGATATGGGGCCCGAAACTAAAAACCTCAAATGTCGGCCCGACTCGAAACGTTGACTCTATAAGTAATACATCACAATCGTGAAAAATATTAAAAGAATAATCTTGGGCCTAAATATTGAGGTATCTTGTTATGTAAATAACTTAACTAAATTTTTAATTAGAAATAAACTTCTTTTGATTAATATAATCAGAATAATTATAATTAAGAGCCAGATATGACACCAGGATTTGGCGGTGGATCTGGAAATTGAATTTTTGAAGTGAAAAGCGATAAAAAAAATTTTAAATTTTTAAACGATTTATCATTATTAGCATAAGTTTCCCTCTAAAATAATTTTATTAATATTTTTGATTTATAAGAGGCAAAGTCTAGGTAGATTTTGAGAAATTAGATAAATTTTATCATAGAATTGTGATTTAATAGTAAGTATTATTTAAAACGTATTATTATTTTAGAGGATGTTAGACCCAAAAATTTTAGTTTACAACATTATCTATTATTTAAAATTTCGACACATTGTCCATAAATTTTTTAAATGACATGTAGATTAGAATAAATATTTATATGAATTTTTTCAATTAGACTTAATAATGTTACCAACTTGAAATTATACACTTTAAGAAATAATTAAAATTATAAGAACTCGAAATAATTATTCATAATTATTTATGTATTGTCACAGCTCTAAATGTCTGCAATCTATATTTTGGGAAGAGTAGGCTAATTAGAAATCTTGTAGAATACCAAGAATGATCATTCCGCTTTTTCTGATTTGCCCTTGTCTTCGAGCCGGCAATTACACTTCGATCTTGATTTACCCAGCCTTTAAACGGATCGACGTTGCCATCTTGATCACTTGCTAAAACATACTTAAATACTTAAATTTGTTTAAATCCATCTAAATGGATTAGCATTGAATAGCAGACTCGTTATAATTATATAAGTATTTAATTTGAAGTAGCTAATCTATTCTATGTTTAGTCTGAATTCAAATTTTTTAACTGACCAGGCGCGTATTAAATTCGGAAAAATTTTTAAAATTCAAACAGAAATCCAAACGACCATTTTCTTCCCACATGACCCTTTCCTGAACTAAGTAAGATTTTAAATAGTAATTACAAAAATAAAAATTCCCGATTTGTGGAAATCGAGGCTGTAAGTTCCTTGACTACGTATAAACACCTCCAAACGAGCTCTTTCAAAATTTTTAAACTTTTGAAATACGTTGACTAAACTTAAACTCTTACTCGATTTCAAAATCAAACTTAAAAATAAAAATTTCCCTTATCGTCTAATCTCTTTTTCTATCTCTAACTCTATATGCCACTACCTCTTGGCTTTAATTTCTTAATTACCCTCAAGGAGAGATAAAAAAATTTAAATAACAGTCAGGAATATGCCTGGCAATTATTGACTCTAAAATCAATTACCCATAGTTATCTTGCTTGCTTCACATCCTACCCTATATATCACCCCTAATACAGTGTTTGGGAATGATATAAACAAATTTTTTTGTATTTGTATAACTTGTAGGGTAAGTTGGGCCTGCGGCACCTTGCGATGATTTCCTCATGTCTTTAACCCGATTCACGGTCTTTAGTTTACTAGCAAATCTTGAAAATTTAATTGTTTTGCGTCATCCCACATGCAGGATTAATTCTAAAAAAAGTTTACAGAACTCACCGGATCTGATCTTGTAACTTAAAACAGTTGTATTGTTTTACTATTTAATATAAGGCTCTACCGTAATTGCTAAAATAATTATCCAGGGTAATTATCGTTTTAACCCGGTAATTAAAAGGGAGGGGGTAATTATTTGAGCCTTTT